GTGGAGTGACTATAATTAACAATAATTTGTTCTGTATTTTTTAATAGCTAGAAAAGAGGATTTTGAATGTTCTCAAAACAAAGAAGTAATAAATGTTTCAGGTAATGTATATGCTAATTACCCTAATTTGATCATGACACATTGCATACAGCTATCAATAAATCATATTTTATCTTATGGAAAATTATCATGTACCAATTAAAAGTAACTTAAAAACACAAGAAAGACCAAAAATACATGAGAACACTAATCTAGCACTATTGCATTTTTAATTTTAACCATTATAATAATTTTGTAGTGGTATCTAATTGTGACATATTCCCAAAAATATTAAAATAATATACTTTTAATATTTATTATTTGGCTATCTACTTTTGTGGAGTGACTGCTGATGTTTTTTGATTATTATTTATTAATTTGGACAGTTTGTCTATTTCTTATTGAGTTGCAGGCATTGTTTGTACATTTTAATAGAATTTAATCAATTAAATTAATTAAATTAATTAATTTTAATTAATTCTATTAAACATCGTACTTCATGGTTTTTTTAGCCTTTGTAATATTGTGAGAAAGGAGAAGTACGATGTTTAATAGAAGAGTTTATAGTTTCCTTCTTTGCCTTATGCTAACTCCGCAAAAAGCTTTGATATTTTATGATTAAAAATATTGAAGTTTTTTGAATAAACTTTTAGAAATGTTAATAAATTGCCGTTGAAATTCTAGGTGTTAAGTATTTGGTTCATGAATGAGTATTGAATTGCATCCCATAAATTTTCTGTATCTATTGAGATTCTCACATTTTTTTCTTACTCTCACACAATGACTTACATTAATTTTCTAATGTTAAACCAACTTTTCATTTCTATTATAAACTTAACTTGATTATGATATATTAACATTTTCATATATCACTTAATTTGGCTTGCTAACGTATGCTGGATTATTGCTTTCATGTTCCTAAAGGATATTTGCATGTTATTTTGTTTTCTTGTAATGTCTTTGGCAGATTTTGGCATCATACTTTAATTAGAAAGTAAGTCCTCCATTTTTTTCTATTCTTGTAAAATGTTTAGGTTAATAATCGTGTCATTTTCTTGCCTTAATGCTCTGTAATAAATCATGGGTGAAGTCACATAAGCATGGAGTTTTGTTGGTAGAAAACTTCAAATTACAGAATTGTTTGTTTTAATATATATACGTAACTACTTAGATATTCTGTGTGCTTGTGTCAGTCATGTATAGTATAATTTTCTAGGCATTTATCCATTTTGCTTGAATGTTTAAATTTATTTCCAATATTGTTAATATTATCCTCTCATACTTTTAAAGTCTGCATGACCAGTTCCGTTTCTAATATTGTCATTTTTTCTTTATTTATCTTGATAATTACTTTCATTAGAGGTAATTATTAATTATTTTTAAAGAAATAAACTTCTGAATTTTTAAACTCCTTAAGGTATGTTTTGTAGTTCAGTAGTTTCTGATCTTAATTTTTATTGTTAATAAAAATTATAAAATAAAAATAATTCTTGTTTTTACTGGATTTTGGCTTAACTATTCTATTTTCCAAATTATTAAGATGACTATTTAGATTATTAAATTCTGGTCTTTTTTCTTTTCTAATATATGAATTAAAGGCCATATATTTACCTCCTAGCATGACTTTAACCATATCTCATCATTGTAAATGGTTATTTTTTATTAATTTCAAAATATTTTCTAAATTTTGTTATGATTTTTTGAAGCTGTTTAAAATAATTCCTTTGAATGTGTCTGTGTATAAGTCCTAAACAATGCAAAGAACTTAGAAGCCTTAATGTAAATTTATGCTCTTTTATTACTGGTCATTTTTAATTCATGTGTTTACTTCCCCCATTTCAAAATTCCTTTGTGTATGAGACTTTATTCATTATCTGAAAGTAGTGACAGTATTGCATGGAGACACATAGCAAGGTTGTAAACTCAAAACAAATAGATGTTAAGCAGTGATTAAGCATTTACTTCAGAACTATGTATGGCCATTTTCCTATTACACTTCAACTCTCATTACTCCATATGCAAAAATATATTATTAATGGCAGCATTGCTGTTTGTGCCCAGAATATACTTGAGATATTATCTCTATAGTAAGGAGTGCCTAATATTTTTAATATTGTTGTGACACATCAGAAAATTTAAAAAAATCACATAGAATAAAAAGGCAGAAGTGAATTTCATTCTCCACAACAGAAGTAGAGATAAGAAACAAATAGTAACTTTACCAGGAATGAAATAATCTAAAAATTATCAAATTGTGCCTAATATTTCTAATTTTGTTGTGACACATCAGAAAAAAAAAAAAAAAGACAGAAGTAAATCTCATTCTCCACAACAGAAAAAGAGAGATGAAACAGATAGCAACTTTACCCAGGAAAGAAAAATGCTAAAAAATATCAACACTCAAAATCTCTCTCTCCCTCTCTCTCTCTCTCTTTTTTTTTTTTTTTGATGATTTGAGAATGTTTACACCCATCTGACTGCCACCACACAACCACACATACTAATGTAAAGCCTGCTTCTGAGAATAAATATATAATATATGATGCATATTATATTTAAATATATAGTAATACATGAACATTTCTTGAGATACAAATGATTATATATAAATAACTAAAATAATATATCTCAAACTATTAGCACTGGTTTCTTCCTTAAGGAAAAGCAAGAATTACTGGGAAGTGACAAAGAACTTTTATGTTGAACTCTGTTTCTTTGTTGCTCAAACATTTTACAACTGGAATGAACTTAGTAGATTCATATTTTGTGTGTATTAGGAATCTAATAGCATGAGAACTTTTTAAATATTTACTGAGCTTTTCAAACTTTTAAAAAGGTATTGTCTTCAGTTCTGGATTAAATATCAGTGTCATATTTTTAGTTGATTAAAATGAAAAGAAAGTCTGCCACATTTTTTTCTCACATATTGAAGCTGACTATTCTTAATACAAAGGAGCTGTTTCTTGTAATACATATGCTATATTAACTCTGTCCTTTCAGAGTTTGTTTGGGCAAATTTTTATGTTATAAGTCAGAAGGCTCCATTTGTTAAGGATTCATTTGATTGCTATAACAGAAACCTAACTTAAAGTACCTTAAGCAAGGTGTAATTAGGTCACTGGAAGATCTTGTCTTAAAGATAACTGCAACTAACACCTTAAATGGTTTTAGGAATCTCTCTTGCCTGTACAGAAGGGAGAATAATCATAGGCAGCTTCTAGGCCAACCTCACAACTTTGCAAACACAGAGAAAAACAGTTTCAAAAATTCAGTAAATAAACATTCTCAAACTATTTGGCATTACAGATCCACTTCTGTTGGAGTAAGGGTGATTGTTATCTGAACTAAAATTGACACTAGACATAAAATAACGTATACCCACTAAATACTTCAGATTGAGTCAAAAAAGCTAGCAACAGAAATCTAGCCCAAACTTTAAAAAACTAAAATGGAATCATTAGCTAGAAACTCGTATAATTCACAGAATCCAAAAAATGTGCTAAAGCCGCATGTCCAAAATTTGAACCTGACTCAAATCAGGGAATATAATGCTTTCTTTAATTTTGTCTCCAATTACTTTTGCACAATGCCCTACTTTTTTTTTTTTTTTAATGCTCTACATTTTTCCCACAGAGTAGCAGACAAATCTGCTGCCAAGCTGAGGCTCTTGTTTTCGAAGCTTTGTGGCCAGACAAAAAAGGGGCCCTTTCTTTTCTTTTTATTATAAGCATTTTAATCAATCTATTTATTTTTTCTATTATATTTTAACATCTTAGGTGCAATGTCCAAATATCTCAGTAAATTACTGATATGATTTGGCTCTGTGTCCCCACCCAAATCTCATGTCAAATTGAAATTCCCAATGTTGGGGGAGGGACCTGGTAGGAGGTGATTAGATCATAGGGGTGGATTTTTCCCTTGCTCTTCTCATGATAGTGGCTGAGTTTTTATGAGATCTGGTTGTTTAAAAGTGTGTAGCACTTCCCCCTTTGCTCTCTGTTCCTCTTGCTCCAGCCTCGTAGGACTTGCTGGCCTCCCTTTTGCCTTCCACCATGATTATAAGTTTTCTGTGGCCTCCCTAGCCATGCTTCCTATACAACCTGCAGAACCATGAACAATTAAGCTTCTTTTCTTTATAAATTACCCAGTCTCAGGTAATTCTTTATAGCAATATGAGAACGGACTAATATAATTATACTTAATATTCTGACTTCTTTCATATCTTCATATTTTGAGAAAATCACTTTGGCTAATGTTTTTAGGAGGTTCTATAATTTCTATATTGAGTATCATGACTTCCTGGTAATGAGAGAGGGTGAATGGGTATATGCAAACAAAAATTAGTAGATGTACACTACAGATATACTAGTAAGCTTCAAGTCTTAAAATGTGCAATAAATCAATGTAAATATTTTATATGTATAAACAGTGTTAAGGTGATAAGAAACTAGTTGAAAACTCTGGCAAAAAAATTTTTTAGCTATCTTTATTTCATAGATTATTGTCTGCATGTTGAAAATAAATATTTTGAGGTAGAAATTACAACTGAATATTGCATGTTAGCTTCACTATTTTAATTCTGTGACTTTTGAGTAGAAGATGTTTATTTTGTTGCTTTAACACTTATTTTCCTTTAAAAATACTTAAATTATGTTTCATTCTTAACTGTCATTTTATGTCCACCTGCCACGGCACTTTCCCTGAGTGTATATCTTTGGTTTTATAACTCAGACACTGGTAAGATAATGTCCTCTTGATCTTACTTTAATTTATGGCACACCGCTAGAATTAACATATTCTCTCAAGTAAGAGCTACCAGTAATTCATTAATGGACTGACTCATCTTCACTCAACTAAGTTTCACATGGTCACCACTAAGTGGCAGTGTAGCAACAGTCTTCTGCGCAGTATTGCTATCACTTATTCCACTTCACGTTTGGTTTTCTTTAAGAATGCCAAAGTTCTTTATTCTTTCTCTTTTTTAAATGGATGAGACAATGGTATTTCTATTCCTAATTTCTGTTTTTAACTTTCAATTTTAGCTAAAATTTCTGTAATCACGCAACTTATGTAATATATCTTTTTTTTTTTTTTTTTTTTTGTAGCGAAAGAAACTAGTAAATCTGGTTTGCCAACCTGCTTTCTCTAGCTAAGAATGACAATGGGATAGTTAATTTTAAACTGGTTTCATTACTGTCTTAGAATCAAAGCCTAAGCTATTGCTCCAGTTAGTAGAACCTATATGTGTGTGTCATAGCCAGAAGACAACTTGCCTTCAGCACTTCAGCCATCACATAATATTACCTCTGGAAAGAGCAGAAGATCAAACACCGCATGTTCTCACTCATAAGCGGGTGTTGAACAATGAGAACACATGGACACAGGGAGGGGAGCACTACACACTGGGGTCTGTTGGGGGGAAATAGGGGAGGGACGGTGGGGGGTGGGGAGTTGGGGAGAGATAGCATGGGAAGAAATGCCAGATGTAGGTGATGGGGAGGAAGGCAGCAAATCACACTGCCAAGTGTGTACCTATGCAACAATCTTGCATATTCTTCACATGTACCCCAAAACCTAAAATGCAATAAAATAAATTAAAAAAATATATTACCTCTGGAAAAGCCTCCTGGTACATTTCACTAAGTTGAATTTTCTGTATTAATGATTACCAAATATAATCTCTGATACAGTCAGAGTGCCAGAAAACACTCAAAAAATTATCCAGTAGTCCAACCCCCTGATTTTAGAATAAGATTGATTTCCAAAAATATTTGGATTATTAGCTATGTTTGCATATCCAGTTTATGGCAAAACCAAGACTAGGGTTAAGATGTTCTCATTTTCAGATCAGATGTCTTTATAATTATTATCTCTTTGAAACTTGGGTAATGATTATATGATTCCAAATAACTTAAAATGAATAAATGTAGTCAAATATCTAAATTTGCACAATTGGTCATATATTTGTAATATAAACAAAAACTTCAGATTAATTTTCTTCCCACTGGAGTAATCAATGTTGAGAAGGCATAGACAGAAAAATCTAATTTGCCATCCAAGTTGAATATAATTTTTCTTAAGAGTCTATCATTATGTTGAAGCTTATCATTAGGCTTCACAAAAACATATTTGTAAAGTGTTTAAATCTTCCAATCATTACAGACTACCCACAAATAAAGAGCGCATATAAATAGAGTTGGTCTAAAATTGTGTTCGATTACAATAAGAACAATTTGTTCTCTTCAACACACAATAGTTGGGCACTGTCACTCTTACATGGTAGGGTAAGAGTGTTTGCAGTAATTCTGTCACACTGCTGCAGCTCTTCTCTTGTCACAGTTTAATCCTAGCAAACAATTTGTGGGTTTAGTTTTCAGTTTTGAGGCTTTAAACTCAGGGAAACAGCAATAGTTTCTTTTTTCTTCTAACAGTAAATCATCATAAAACCTAGATTGTTTCCCTGACCTGCATAAGTTGGTGCTGTGAATATAAGTTTAATTTCTGGAACTCTGTGGAAAAAAATTCAAAACAGGGCTCTTTGCCTTTTGTTAATTGCAAGATAGAAATTCCAACAAAGTGATGAAGAATATGATTGTTTTTATAAATCACTGCAGGGTAGCAATAACAAAATACCAAGGGGTAAAAAATACTGCCTCAAAAAAATTGCAATTTTGTGTTTATTAAATAATGATTCTTACTGTAATTAATATAGTCTTCCAAAATGTGTCATATTAGTATTCATAATATTGAAAAATTTTGACATGTTAAAGATTTACATTTTAAAAAATTTTAAGAGCATATATAGCTGTCTGTACTCCACCACTGTTATTTACCTTGAATACAATTTCTGTACTTTTTGAGATTCTTGGACCCAAATTGTCAATATATAAAAGCTAAATTGCTTCCAAAAGCTGATTGCAAACAGATTCTAACCAAAAACAAATCAATCAAATAGAAATGATTCTTAGATTACTAACAGTATATTATGCATTGAACATGGCTCAAATTTTAAATTTTCTCCATTATATTTGCTAATGATTATGTTGTGATTAACTGTGGAACAAGCAGCATGTGTTATGTCCAAAATGAACAAAGTGGAAGGCAGATGGGCGAAAAGGTTTGCGGATCAGTAAGTCACTTTAATTTGAGGTGGCCAAAGATATCCTTCAAATGATTTAGTCCCCTACCCATCTCTTAGCAGTTCAACATCCTCCAGGCTCTAACACAACCCTATCTCCTCCTACTCTACCTGCCTTGGCCGGTAGTCACTAGCCACAAACATCTATTTAAATTTAAATTTTATTAACTAAAATAAATATAATTATCTATTAAATTCCTCAGTCACACTGGTTATATTTTAAATGCTCAATACCAACATATAACTAGTGACTCCTGTATAGGACAAGGCAGATTATAGAATATTTTTACTACTGAAAAAACTTCTATTCGATAATGCTGTGAATTTACCCAGTTAGCTTAAGCAATCTCACTTACATCATGTCTCACCTACCACGGAGGGCTACTCTCAAATCTCTCTCTCTATGCCTCGATTTCCTCACTTGTTATAAGAGAACAATAATAGCTACCACATAGGATTGTTGGGAAGACAAAATCAAACAAAGCATTTCAATATGTTTTAAAGTACTGGACCCATAGTAGACCCTCAATTATTTTTAATGAATCAGGAATGTCTTCATTGTTGTTAATAGTAACACTCTCTTGAACTCCAGAACTATATATTTAACAACCTTCTAAATATCTACATCTGACCATACAGGAACCCCAAACTCGATATAGCCAAAGCCTAACAATACGGAACAAGATTGTCTTATGCATAATCGCCATTTGAATATCTGAAAACAGCCGTTATTTCTACCCTTGGATTAATCTATGATAAAATGATTTAGTTCCTTTAATATCTTTACTGATGTTTTCTAAACCCCTTTAAATTCTCAGCTTAAGTGTCACTTCTTTTGGAAGTTACTCCTATTTCTTATGACATCTAGGAATCTGTTAAGAAACCAACAATTGCATTCCTCTTTCTACTTAAACAGTTTTGCCTTTTTGTTCCTTCCCATTATTAGAACACAAGTGACCTGACCAAAAGTGTCGTTTCTTATCATGGCATTCTTAAATGATAGCACAGATCCTATCACAGAGTAAGGACTAGCAAAACCTTGTTTGAACAAATATTTCACATATAAGAGGAGCTTTGAAATATAGACTAAAAGATTTGTAGAGTTCAGATGGTGGAATGAAGGGCAAAAATGCCATTAGTGAAGCCATCAGGGTGTGCAAGTATTAAGTGCTTTGTAGGGGAGGGAGTGAATAGGCCAGTTTCATTGGAGAAGATAATTCATTTTGGAATAAATTTTAAAATGAGTAAGAAACAATTTTCTGAGTTTGAAAGAGTGATCTACATTATTCTATAAGCAATGGGGAGTCACTGGTGAGTTGGGATGGGAAAAGTAACATTATCAAAGCAAATTTTCAGCAAGATTAATCTGGAGATACTGGGATAGAATGGGTAGGGGGAGACACTAGAGGTGCTGAGATCAGTTAAAAGATTATTACAGTGAACCACGCATGAGGTCATAACGTCTTAGAATAAGAAGATTGTGATGAGAAAGGTAGAATGAAGAAGAAGTTGATGGAAAAAGAAAAAAGTTCAATACAATGAAAATTGAGATGCCTAATGGGGAATATGGCTGTTAAATGAAGAAAAATATTTGGTTTGGAAATACTTTGATTGAGGTACCTGACAGCCAGAGCTATGAAGGAAATATCCCACATATTGTTCATATGCTAGACTACAGCTTTAAAAATTTAGCCTAGAGAGATGGATTTGGGTGTTACACATTATTGAAACCATAAGAATATAGGTGATATTTAAAGGTTAGAGAGCACAGGAAAAAAAAAATGGTCCTAGTACTGAATCTTAGGAAATGCCTGTATTTAGAATTTGTGCAATGGAAAGATGAGGCAATGGAAACTGAGAAGGAACATCAGAGAGGTAAGCACCACTTTCCATGATGTGTACTGCAGTTGCTCCATTCTCTTAAGATGATAATTCTCACACTAATGAAAGTGGTGAAAATCTGATATTATTGTCTTTTTTTTTTTTAACAATGCCACAACTCTACACAAAACTAGTTACATTTTCTCTAGAAAGGTGATCGTCTCTATCTGCTCTGTACTAATTCTTACTTCTATTTCCCTATATTATTATCCATGCTGTTATTATTTCTCCTGAAAAATTTACTAGATTACTATGCTATTTTCTCTCAATACTTCAAAATGTCACTCCACTTTCTTCTTGCTTGCATAGCTTCTGAGAAGTTAGGTGTCATTCTTATAATGATTTCCCCCCTTTTCCCCTCTGACTTCTTTCAGTATTTTATTCTTTAGCTTTTACTTCTTACAGTTTGAATAAGATATGCCTAGGTGTAGTTCTCCCCTATAGAACAGTTCATTCTTTTTAACATTCCCTGAGCTTTCTAGGTCTGTGGTTTGATATCCAACATTAATTTTGGGGAAATTCTCAGTATTGCTTCAAATGTTGCTTCACTTTCTTTCTTTTTTTTCTTATTTTCTCACCTCATGAAGAGTTCACCTTTTGTAGCTGTCCCGCAGTTCCTGGATATTTTATTCTCTTTTTTTCATTCTGTTTTCTCTTTGCTTTTCTGTTTTGGAAGTTTCTGTTGACATATCTTCAAGTTCACTGAGTCGTTCCTGAGATGTGTTCGCTCTACCAATTAGCCCATCAAAGGTATTCTTTATTTCTGTTAGTTTTTTTGTTTGTTTGTTTTTGGCATTTCTATTTGATTCTTTCGTAGAATTTATATCTCTCTGCTTACATTATCAGTTCTTTCATATCGTCTACTTTTTCATTGGAACCCTTGGAATGTCAGCTATAGTTTTTAAATTTCTAAAAGAGAAAAGCATACAGATTTACTAAAAATTTGCCTGATTCTATCACCCAGAACTCAATGTTTTCTAAACACCTACCATTTAAAAATGCTCAGCTTAAGTGTTGCTTATCTTGTGAAGTTACTTCTGTTCCTTATGACATCTTGTAATTTTTTCGTAAATCAACAGTTGCATTCCTCATGCTACTTAGGAAGTTTTGCCTTTTTGTTAATTTCTATCATTAGGACATTAGTGTTTTAGTGTATATGGTTATTTTTTATACATTTAAAAATATAGGTGATATAATAATATATGTCTGATTTTTAAATATACAGCTTTTTCTCAGTCCGAAATCAGTATATATTATTTGGAGATAATGTATTATCTACTTAAGCAAAATGATAAAATATAAATCACCATGTTCTTTTTAACCAGGAAAAATATGTGGTCAGTATTTACAGGTATGTATATCTCTTCAGATGTGTTTATATATAAGTTTCTGTGTGCTTACATATTTTAATGTAATTGTATTGGATATATTATATAACATACCTTTTCTCATACTTTAATGTCTTTAATTAATTTTGTAGTATAAGCAATAGAAAAATAGTTCCAAGTGCTATGGGAGATAATATAAAGACAGGATTGATTATCTATGATTCTGTAATTTAAAAAATTCACTATAAACTTTTAAGATGTCAGAAATGGTTGTTAATTTGCTTGTCAATAAAATGTATTACCACTTCTTTGAGGATAGTGGGATTTATCTTTACTTTTAGAAATTCCATACATGATGTACCTCAAGAATGAAAAAGTTAGCCACTATAAAGCAATTGCCAGCCATGTATCAAATTTATTCTCTGAGATCTTCTATAACCCACTTAGAAGAAACAAGCCTTATGGGCATTAGGACCAAAGCTCAGAGATTTTTCCAATTCAAAAAACTTTTTTTTTTTTTTTTTTAGACGGAGTTTTGCTCTTGTTACCCAGGCTGGAGTGCAATGGCGCTATCTTGGCTCACCGCAACCTCCGCCTCCTGGGTTCAGGCAATTCTCCTGCCTCAGCCTCCTGAGTAGCTGGGATTACAGGCACACGCCACCATGCCCAGCTGATTTTTTGTATTTTTAGTAGAGACGGGGTTTCACCATGTTGACCAGGATGGTCTTGGTCTGTTGACCTCGTGATCCACCCGCATCGGCCTCCCAAAGTGCTGGGATTACAGGCGTGAGCCACCGCGCCCGGCCCTCAAAAAACTTTTGAAACTAAATTCACCATATCTTTCCATTTTTTTAAATCAGTGACTAAAGAAAGCAATGACACCTCCTCCTCTGGGCATCTCTAATGCCTATTGTGTACTTTCTTATCTCTGCTAATATGCCTCCCCTATCGCCCACCTCCAAAGCATATGAAATACTCGCTATTTTCCCAGTGTCTCCATCTTTTCTCAAAAAACATGTTTCTTTGAAGTTCTCGTCAGTGGTGACTGTTTAATGTTTCTCACACATGGCATCCTGCTTGGTCACCATTATAGTTTACTCTCTATCTTATTAGAACAAAATTCTTTGTGCTTTAAGGCCCATGCAATTTACTTAGACAATTCACTTATTCAACAAAATTTTTAACACTATTTTCTGAGTCAAGAACCACATTAGGCACTAGACATTCTGCAGGAAACAAAACAAATCAAGTTTTATCTTCTGTTGGTTTCCATAATAACACTTTCTCTTGTTTCCTATCCCACTCCCCCATTGAAATTTTAAACGCTCTGGTTCTAGGCCACCTTTCTCTGCTCAATTTTAACTCTTGTTTTCTTTACGTCTTGTAACTCAAGTGCCATGTATATGCCGATTACTCCCAAGATAAAAGAGTTAACTAAGAATTAAGTGTACTCGATAAATTTGTGGGCTTCAGCTATGAATTCAGTGCTTTTCCAAAAAACTAATCATTATCACCTCATTTTAATGTTCATATCCCTCTTTTTCGTAAACAGCATCCATAGGTAATTAGTTTTTCCTGGTAAACACCATTCAATATGCGCCCACACACTTCTCCTTGTATACATAAGACTACATTGTAGTTATATCTGCATGATAGAAAACTGACCTGAATGAATACAATTCATTATACTATTATTGTATTTTGATAATCAATGTTATTATATATACATAAACATTGACTGTTCCTTAGAACAATCAGAAACACTTAAGTCAATGGTTCCTGGACACTAAAATCATGGTTTGTCTCAGCAGATGAAACCACCTTGATAGCCACCATTTTAAATTGACGTAACGTTTTACTCATTCAAAAATTGAACAACCTTTTAATTTTTTAGCAAATGTGTGCCTTCAGAAGAAAGATTATCATTTCTTACTGTTTTCAATAAAAATATGTAACTTAAGTGTCTTAGTCATAACATAAACCAGTGCATAAAATGAGTATTTAAATTCTTACTGTGTGCCTAATATTGTATTAAGCATGATCAGGTAATGGTACCAAAAAATAAAAGTAGCATGTTTGTGAGTTCAATCAAATGAAGAGTTTGAATTTACCAATATCATTATTTATTTAAATTGTGAATTATTATTTAAGCTACTGAAAACTATGACACAGGACTAATCATGTGTCAACATTGGAAGTTGGAAATGATATAAATCAAATGTAAATCTCAAATAATCATTTAAATAACTGTAAAAATTCTCATTAGTTTTCTGTCCTTTTTTTAAATTGTACTTTAGGTTCTGGGGTACATGTGCAGATCATGCAGGATTGTTGCATAGGTACACACATGGCAATGTGGTTTGCTGCCCCCATTCTCCCGTCACCAATATCGGACATTTCTCCCCATGTTATCCCTCCCCGACCTCCCCACCTGCTGTCCTTCCCTTGGCCCCCTGCAACAGACCCCAGTGTGTGATGCTCCCCTCCCTGTGTCCATGTGTTCTCATTGTTCAACAACCGCCTATGAGTGCAAACATGTGGTGTTTGATTTTCTGTTCTTGTGTCAGTTTGCTGAGAATGATGGTTTCCAGATTCACCCAAGTCCCTACAAAGGACACGAACTCATCATTTCTTATGGCTGCATAGTATTCCATGGTGTATATGTGCCACATTTTCCCTGTCCAGTCTATCGTTGATGGGCATTTGGGTTGGTTCCAGGTCTTTGCTATTGTAAACAGTGCCACTATGAACATACGTGTGCATGTGTCCTTATAATAGAATGATTTATAATACTTTGGGTATATACCCAGTAATAGGATTGCTGGGTCAAATGGAATTTCTATTTCTAGGCCCTTGAGGAATTGCCACACTGTCTTCCACAATGATTGAACTAATTAACACTCACAAAAACAGTGTAAAAGTGTTTCTGTTTCTCCACATCCTCTCCTGCATCTGTTGTCTCCAGATTTTTTAACGATCAATATACTAACTGGCCTGAGATGGTATCTCACTGTGGTTTTAATTTGCATTTCTCTAATAATCAGTGATGATGAGCGTTTTTCATATGTTTGTTGGCCTCATATATGTCTTCTTTTGAAAAATGTCTGTTCATACCCTTCCCCACTTTTGAATGGGTTTGTTTTTTTTCTTGTAAATCTGTTTTAGTTCTTTGTAAATTCTGGATATTAGCCCTTTGTCAGATGGGTAGATTGCAAAAATTTTTTTCCCATTCCGTTGGTTGCCAATTCACACTAATGATTGTTTCTTTTGCTGTCCAGAAGTTCTGGAGTTTAATTAGGTCTCATTTGTCTATTTTGGCTTTTGTTGCCAATGCTTTTGGTGTTTTAGTCATGAATTCCTTGCCTATGCCTATGTCCTGAATGATTTTGCCTACATTTTCTTCTAGGGGTTTTATGGTGTTAGGTCTTATGTTTAAGCCTTTAATCCATCTGGAGTTAATTTTAGTGTAAGGTGTCAAGAAGGGGTCCAGTTTCTGCTTTCTGCACACTGCTAGCCAGTTTTCCCAACACCATTCATTAAATAGAGGATCCTTTCCTCATTGCTTGTTTTTGTCAGGTTTGTCAAAGATCATATGGTTGCAGATGTGTGGTGTTGCCTCCAAGTCCTCTGTTCTGTTCCATTAGTCTATATCTCTGATTTGGTACCAGTACCATGCTGTTTTGATTACCATAGCTTTGTAGTATAGTTTGAAATCAGGTAGTGTGATGCCTCCAGCTTTGTTCTTTTTGCTTAGGATTCTCTTGGCTATGCAGGCTCTCTTTTGGTTCCATATGAAGTTTAAGTTGTTTTTTTCCAGTTCTGTGAAGAAGGTCATTGGTAGCTTCATGGGGATAGCGTTGAATCTACAAATTACTTTGGGGAGCATGGCCATATTCACAATATTGATTCTTCCTAACCATGAGGACGGAATGTTTCTCCATTTGTTTCTGCCCTCTCATTTCCTTGAGCAGTGGTTTGTAGTTCTCCTTGAATAGGTCCTTTACGTCCTTTGCTAGTTGTATTCCTCGGTATTTTATTCTCTTTGTAGCAATTGTGAATGGGAGTTCACTCATGATTTGGCTCTCTGTTAGTCTGTTATTGGTATATAGAAATGCTTGTGATTTCTGCGTATTGATTTTGTATCCTGAGACTTTGCTGAAGTTGCTTATCAGTTTAAGGACATTTTTGGCTGAGATGACAGGGTCTTCTAAATATACAATCATGTCATCTGCAAATAGAAACATATGACTTCCTCTTTCCCTAATTGAATAAACTTTATTTTTTTTTTCTTCCCTAACTGCTCTAGCTAGTAGTTCCAATACTATGTTGAATAGGAGCGGTGACAGAGGGTATCCTTGTCTAGTGCTGGATTTCAAAGGGAATGATTCCAGTTTTTGTCCATTCAGTATGATATTTGTTGTAGGCTTGTCATTAATAACTTTTATTATTTTGAGATATGTTCCTTTGATACCCAGTATATTGAGAGCTTTTAGCATAAAGGGCTGTTGAATTTTGGCAAAGGTCTTCTCTGCATCTATTGAGATAATCGTGTGGTTTTTGTCTTTGGTTTTGTTTATGTGGTGGATTACGTTTATAGACTTGTGTATGTTGAACCAGGCTTGCATCCCAGTAATGTAGCGTACTTCACGGTGATGGATAAGCTTGATGATGTGCTGTTGCAATCAGTTTGCCAGTATTTTATTGAAGATTTTTGCATCTATGTTCATCATGGATATTGGCTTGAAGTTTTCTTTTTTCATTGAGTCTCTGCTGGGTTTTGGTATCAGGATAATGTTGGTCTAATAAAATGATTTGGGAAAAATTCCCTCTTTTTGGATTGTTTGGAATAGTTCAGAAGGAATGATACCAGCTCCTCTTTATATATCTGGTAGAATTCAGCTGTGAACCTGTCTGGACCTGGACTTTTTTTGGTTGGTAGGCTATTAATTGCTGCCTCAACTTCAGCCCTTGTTATTGGTCTATTCAAGGTTTCAACTTCTTCCTGGTTTAGGCTTGGGAGGGTGCAAGTGTCCAGGAATTTATCCATTTCTTCCAGGTTGACTGGTTTATGTGCATAGAGTTGTTTGTAGTAGTCTCTGATTGTAATTTGTATTTCTGTGGACTCAGTGGTGGTATCCCCTTTATCATTTTTTATTCCATCTATTTGATTCTTCCCCCTTTTCTTTTTTATTTATCTGGCTAGCAGTCTGTCTATTTTGTTGATCTTTTCAAAAAACCAGCTCCTGGATTTATGAATTTTTTGAAGGATTTTTTGTGTCTCTATCTCCTTCAGTTGTACTCTCATCTTAGTTATTTCTTGTCTTCTGCTAGCTTTTGAGGTGTGTGTGTGTTTTTTTTTTTTTTTTGTCTTGCTCCTCTGGCTCTTTCAATTTTGATGATAGGGTGTGGATTTTAGATCTTTCCTCACTTTTCATGTGGGCATTTATTGCTATAAATTTCCCTCTAGACACTGCTTTAAATGTGTCCCAGAATTTCTGGTATGTTGTGTCTTCATTCTCGTTGGTTTCAAAGAACATCTTTATTTTTGTGTTCATTTCATTGTTTACCCAGTTGACATTCAGGAGACAATTGTTCAGTTTCCATGAAGTTGTCCTTTTCTGAGTTAGTTTCTTAATTCTGAGCTCTAATTTGATTGCACTGTGGTCTGAGAGACTGTTTGTTATGATTTCCATTCTTTTGCATTTGCTGAGGAGTGATTTACTTCCAATTATGTGGTCAATTTTAAATTAGGTGGCATGTGGTGTTGAGAAGAATGTATATTCTGTGGATTTGGGGTGGTGATTTCTGTAGATGTCTATTTGGTCTGCTTGGTCCAGATGTGAGTTCAAGTCCTGGATATCCTTGTTAATTTTCTGTCTCGTTGATTTGTCTAATACTGACAGTGGAGTGTTAAAGTCTCCCACTATTATTGTGTGGAGTCTAAGTCTCTTTGTAGGTCTTTAAGAACTTGCTTTATGAACCTGGGTGCTCCTGTATTGGGTGCATATATATTTAGGTTTGTTAGCTCTTCTTGATCCATTGATGCTTTTACCATTATATAATGCCCTTCTTTGTCTCTTTTGATCTTTGTTCGTTTAAAATCCTTTTTATCAGAGACTAGGATTGCAACTCCTGCTTTTTATTTTGCTCTCCATTTGCTTGAAAAATCTTCCTTCTTCCCTTTATTTTGAGCCTATGTGTGTCCTTGCATGTGAGACGGGTTTCCTGAATACAGCACACCAATGGGTTTTGATTTTTATCCAATTTGCCAGTCTGTGTCTTTTGATTGGGGCATTTAGTCCATTTGCATTTAAGGTTAATATTGTTATGTGTGAATTTGATCCTACCATTTTGATGCTAGCTGGTTGTTTTGTCTGTTAGTTGACACATTTTCTTCATTGTGTCGATGGTCTTTACCATGTGGTAGATTTTTGGAGTGGCTGGTACTGGTTGCTCCTTTCCTTGATTAGTGCTTCTTTCAGGAGCTCTTATAAGGCAGGCCTGGCGGTGATGAAATCTCTGAGCAATTGCTTATTCATAAAGGATTTTCTTTCTCCTTTGCTTAGGAAGCTTAGTTTGGCTGGATATTAAATTCTAAGTTGAAAGTTCTTTTCTTTAAGGATGTTGAATATTGACCCCCACTCTCTTCTGGCTTGTAGAGTTTCTGCTGAGAGATCTGCTGTGAGTCTGATGGGCTTCCCTTTGTGGGTAACCCGACCTTTCTTTCTGGCTGCCCTTAGCATTTTATCCTTCATTTCAACCCTGGTGAATCTGAAGTTTATGTGCCTTGGGGTTGCTCTTCTCGAGGAATATCTTTGTAGTGTTCTCTGTATTTCCTGAACTTGAATGTTGGCCTGCCTTGCTAGGGTGGGAAAGTTCTCCTGGATAATATCCTGAAGACTGTTTTCCAGCTTGGACTAATTCTGTCCGTTGCATTGAGGTACACCTGTCAAACTTAGATTAGGTCTTTTCACATAATCCCATATTTCTTGGAGGCTTTGTTCATTTCTTTTCACTCTTTTTTTCTCTATTCTTGCCTTCTCCTTTTATTTCATTGAGTTGATCTTCAACCTCTGATATCCTTTCTTATCCTTTCTTCTGCTTGGTCAATTTGGCTGTTGAAACTTGTGTGTACTTTGCTAAGTTCTCGTGCTGTGTTTTTCAGCTCCATGAAGTCGTTTATATTCTTCTTTAAGCCGTTTATCCTAGTTAGCAACTATCTAACCTTTTTTCCAGGTTCATAGTTTCCTTGCATTGGGTTAGAACATGTTCTTTTAGCTCAGAGAAGTTTGTTATTACCCACCGTCTGAAGCCTGTTTCTGTCATTTCATCCAATTCATTCTCCATCCATCTTTGATTCCTTGCTGGTGAGGAGTTGTGATCCCTTGGAGGAGGAGAGGCATTCTTGTTTTTGGTGTTTTCCTCCTTTTTGCGCTGGTTTCTTCCCATCTTAGTGGTTTTATCTACCTGTAGTCTTTGTAGTTGGTGACTTTTGGATGGGCTCTCTGAGTGGATGTCCTTTCTTTGATGTTGAAGTTATTTCTTTCTGCTTCTTAGTTTTCCTTCTAACAGGCTCGTCTGCTGCAGGACTGCTGGAGGTCCATTCCAGACCCTGCTTGCCTGGGGCTGCAGAACAGCAAGGGTTGCTGCATGTTTCTTCCTCTGCTATCCTAGTCCCAGAAGGATGCCAGCCAGCTGTTGGCCTGACCTTCCCTTTATGAGGTGTGTCTTTGGGTATACGGGGGTTGGAAAGATGCTTGAGGAGACAGTCTGTCCCTTATAGGAGCTCAGGTGCTGTGCTGGACACTCCGCTATTCCATTTAGAGCTGCTGGGCAGGTACCTTTAAGGCTGCTACAGCTCAACTCATAACCACCTCTTTTCCCAGTTGCTCTGTCCTAGGATAGTCAGCTTTATTTATAAGTCCCTGTTGTGCTGCTGCCTTTTTCATAGATGCCCTGCCTAGCATGGAGTAGTCTAGTCATAGTCTGCCAGGAGAGGCATTGCTGAGCTGCTGCATGCTCTGCCCTGCACTGTGTGAACTGCCTCGGTAGTGGCGGACTGCTTCAGTAGTGGTGGATACCATTCCCCTCACTGAGCTGGGCAGTCCTGGGTCCAGGTGCACTTGCTGCAAAACTCTCAATCCAGAGCATTTCAGATTGCTTGTTTTGTGGGGGTGGTACTCACCAAGCCAGATCCCCTGGCTCCCTTTCAGTTAAATGGGTGGCTCTGTCTCCCAGGTGTTCCAGGCACCAGCCAAAAAGGCTGCCCAGACTTATGAGTTTTTGTGCACTGAAGTGGCACAGGCTGAAACCTCTGCTCTGAAAGCTTGTGATGCTTTTTGGTCTGGGAATCTCCTGGTCTGTGGGCCGTGAAAATTTGTTTGGAAATGTGGTGAGCACTCACTCTCTGTGCTGTTCCCACTGGGAACTGCACTCCAAAGCTGTTCCTATTCAGCCATCCTGGATCCTCCTCTGTCCTTTTTTTAAACTGTACCCTAGCTACCAAGAGGATTCTCCTCCTTGATTTGGGAATATGTCCAACTCCTAATAACTTTTATACATGTTTAATGATATTGAATAATTTGAACAGCCTTTATGTCTAGAACTCTTCTTGGTGTACACAATTAGTCTACTAATGAGATTTCAGATTCAAGATTTTGTAATTTTTTAAATGTAGATAGGTCAATCAACACATTCATCCTTTGATTAGTGGGTAAGACTATTTTATTTTATGTTTTCTCATCACTTGGGCTAAACAAAATTTACATGAACCTCCTAACAAAATACTCTTAAGCATTCTCAGTGACCCTTCTAATTACACAATTTTCATCCTCCAGGGTGTCATCGAACAAGTAATTCATTTCAAGTTGTTCATTTTTGCTTTTCTCCTTAATAAAGTTACAATTTTGTATTTAACATGAATAGGATTGTCACATGAGTCTTCATGAATTCAAATGCCTTTAATGTTTACCTCTAACCAAAGACGATTTTATGGGATAAAAAGAAATTCTTAAAAATATTTGCTAACTTTTTTAGAATGTCCATACTTTAAAATGTATTTGTGGCTTGCATATTTTGTTTATTTCAGGCCTTCAATTAACTTTTTTCTTTTTATTTCCCCATAATTTTTTATATCTAATGTTATTAAAAGATTAAACTGACAGACTGTGCATATGGGTTGATTAATTAAATATTCACACTTGAATAACTTTCTTAGCCCAATTTAACCAAGAACAAAGTATAAAAATATTAGTTTGGATGTACATCAATATGAAGTTTTAATAAAGTTAAATATTTAAGCAAATCTATTTAAGTGATGACTTTGAATGTTTAATGTTGTGCTGCAAACATTACTCACTCTAGGATGAACAAATATTGTGCATTTATATCATGCCTTAGCAGGAAATGTTTTAATGAATTGTCTGCTGATGTAGAATATCTTTGTTTTCAGAGAGTAGAATGGTAGTTACCGGGGCTGGGAATGAGAGAGGGTATGTTAATGGAAAGTGTTGGTCAAAGCGTACAGAGTTTCAGTTTAACAGGAGAAATAAGGTCTGGAAATCCATTGTACAACATGGTAACTATAGTTAATAATAATGTATTGTACACTTAATAGTTGCTAAGAAAGTATATTTTAAATGTTCTCACCACAAAAAGTGTTAAGTACATGGGGTGATGTATACGTTAATTAACTTGACTTAATCATTCCACAATGTATACATATGTTAAACATTGTGTTGTACACATTGTATAATATAAACATATGCAATGTTTGTCAATTTAAAATATTAATTAATTAAAGAAATAACAAATAGCCATTCCAAAATAGGAAGATTTTTTCAGAAAAATTAATTTGGGAGGAAGAAGAAACAGAAATGTAAGAGAGTAAGAAGAAAGGAAGAGGAAATGTTAAAAAGGAAGAAAATAGAAGAAAGCAGAGAAAAAGCTTCAATCTCTATATTTCCCAGGTGAGAAAATTAAAGCCTGGGGTGAGTGACACAAAGTAACATAGTGGCATTGTTGGAATTAAAACCCGCCACTGGATAACCAAATAATATCCTGCATGCAGGGGCTCAGAGTGGACCTAGCACCAATCTCTTAGAAAATAAGAAAAATGGGCTCATGAGACAGAGACACTGGCCAATGAACCTTGGATGGAGGTACTTGTCATGGAGACCTGTATGAGGCACCAGATCATTTAGCTCTACCTTGTATATCACAATGGATTTAATTGTTTGTTTTCTCCTTTAACTGCTTCTTAATTTTTTATTCAAGGTGATTGACCTCCCTGCACAAGTCAGTAACAACCCTAATAGGGGATGATGGGAAAAACCATTTTATTGTGCCAGTGGCTATGGGGTCTGCCCTCACGTGTGCAGATCAGCAGTGGTCAAGTGGTAGTGTGGTGTAATCTGTGTGCATATGTGCAACAGGAGTGGAGTTGCAATGGGGCAGTACTGCACTATGCATTTGAAGATAGTCAGCAGTTTGTGAATTATCCCACAGATCAGGACACATGGACAAGATCAAATATAGCCAGAACTACTCCAGAAGGAGCATTTTACAAAACAATGTATTTATACCTGCAATATGAAAACACACTTTTGTTTTATGAAAATCAAATCAGAAAAAAGAGCTAAGATGGCCAACTGGATACAGCCAAGAGATCTTCTTCCACCAAGAGGCCAAGCCATTAAGAAGACCAGCTGACTCCAAGCAGATCTTTGGAAGGAAGACATTTAGAGTGGATGGAGGGAGGATGCTGTCCTTTGGGCTGAAGGGAGGGAAATCTCAGAACTTGGCATGAGGATGTCAAGCACCAATACTCATTCCTGGCCCCAAGCACCTCCTGGGAAAGGATGAGTTAAATAGGTATTGAGTGGCCCAATCCTACTGTGGACCTTGGTAATTCTAGGTGTAAAAGAGTGTATGACCCCCGCCCCCACCCCACCACCAGATATTTGAGCTGGCAGGAAGAACTGCTTGGAGAATAGGCAAGAATGGGGCCCCAGCCCATGCAGGACCCAGAGGGCTTGCAATAGGAATGGCTGCAATGGAGCATAGCAAAGGATGCTTATTCTGCAAAACACATCACACTTCTGTAGGTGCCTTTGGACTTTGTTAATTTTGAGATCTATACAGATATGTTGCCCATAGACAGAGCCAGTCTGACTGGAGCATTCCTCTGTCTGTTGCCCTTTCACAAGGTCCCTGACTGATCACACCCACTTGCAGCCTCAGATGCCCAAGGAGGGCACTTTACAGTCATCACTTCCACAGTTTCTTCACTGGCAGGCCTCAACTAATCACCAGAGACCTTTCACAGAAGGGCCCCCACTGGCAAACACTCACCCCCAGCATACCCCCACTGCTTTGCTGGTGCAAGCACACACACGGACCTTGCTGCCTAGCTGCCATCAGTGGGCACACACACATGAAACTTGCCACCACACCCACTGGTGTGTGCATGCACATGAGCACCACACCCATGCCACCACTGATACATGCAGGCAAGCAGACCCAGGCAAAGCTGCTGCCACACTGAACCATTGACACTTACTGCTGCCAACGCACACGTGCACATGGACTACCGTGCTGCCACTTAACCACTGCTGATGTGCACATGTGAGTACAGACCTCACAGACACTGACCGAATGAAACTGTTTTCCCATCAACCACATCCCCATCAGAGTGTTGTTACTGATAGACTGGAAACCCTTTGTCCCTCTTGAACATTAGGTGCTTAGCCTCAAGGAGACAGAAAACAAAGGTGTGGGCCTGGTCCCAGTCACCCAAGGTTAGAGCATGCAGCCCAGGAGTGTTGAGTTTAGCCTTGGCTTCCTGAAATCATGCAGAAAAGAAGCCAGGCAACTGAACCCAACTTATACCACAGTGAAACCCTTAGGGGACTTTTTGCTTTTCTGGGAAGCAATGTTTTTTTGGCTAACAATAATTAGCAAATAATATATTGTTGCTAATATATTGATATAACAATAATTGTTACATCAAACTATATAAAAACAAAAAGCCCCATCCAAAAAAGAGCAACTTCAAAAGCTGAAGGAACATAAGCCAACACATGTGAGAAACAACCAGTGCAATAACTGGCAACTCAGAAAGCCACCATAACTTTTGACCAAATGACAAAACTAGCTCTTCTGAAATGGTTCTTAACTAGGATGAAGTGGCTGAAATAGAATTCAGAATCTGAATGGCATCATGCATCATCAAGATTCGGGAGAAATTTGAAACATGATCCAAGGAATTAAGGAAGCGAGTAATATGATAGAAAAGATAAAAAGCGAAATAGTCATTTTGAGAAAGAACCAAACTGATCTGACAGAGCTAAAAATCTT